CCCTAATAGCATTTTTCATTAAAACGAAATATTATCATATAATTTTGGCATGTAGACATTGTACTACTCTATCAGTAGGTGTTTTAACTACTAGTTAATGCTCAAACCCTCAGGTATTCTTTTCCTCTTCTGTAAATTTTTAGGGTTTGGGGAAAGGATATACTGGTAGAAGTTGAGGAAAGACATCTAAGCTGTGATGCTAAGGAAGGCAAGTAGGGATGCTGTTTGTTTGGTATTAGCCCTTAAAATTGCTGGAAGCTGGAACCGGTTAAAGTGATCAAAGAAGTTCAGCTAACACAGTTCTATACACTGGGAGCTAGAATCCCTGGATCTTACTACCTATCTAATCTATTCAATCATTCATAGTTCCAACTGTCTAGATGTACAGCTTGAAGACATACAGCTCTGAGACTTTCAACATAACAGGAAAATAGACAAGACATGGCTAAGGCCTATTTCATCAACCCACCACTTAAACATATCCTTTACTTTTTGGCTGAAGGATCATAATTTAGAAATATTTTTTTACTGCTCAATTTTCTTTTAAGATGAAACAACTTTTACTATAATAAGTTTTATCCCAAACCTAATTTAAAATAGTTGACAAGTCTTACTAATAAAAATTATAAAGACACAAATGACATAAAAATACTCAAATCTGAAGGAAGTTGATATTAAGTCTTATTCTTAATGCTCATTATCTGTAAAATGACTAAAATTAAATTTGAGAGTACAAATCCACCAGCTCGCCACCCTTAATACTGCCCTCCAAACTCCAACCCCAGTGTCAACTACAACACAGCAAACACTAACATCTTCAACAAAGATTTACTGAGTGAGGAAATAGCTTTTTATGCACTGTTTTAAAAAACATTCATGTGGTCATTGAGATAAAAAAACTAACCATTTTTCAAATTTTAATATCAAGGGACAACAAAATAATAAACACTGAGACAATATATTTTTGAATACTGAAGGTACAGACTGAAATGATTGCTTTTTAAATTCATGAAACATAATTAGTAAAACTAATTGATAAATTTCATTCCATAGCAAAATAATCAAAGAAAGTCCCTAAAAGTTTGAGTAAAGCTAATTGTGGCTGTTCTTGTCTCTAGCATAGTTCTGCTCCACACTGAAGCTAAGTAAAACATTCATGATCTTTATGCCCCAGGCAAATGCTTCTAAGAATTTATCTGCATCACTTTGCTTCTAGTATAAGACTAAGACTAAGACAGCAGAGTAAACCATTACTGAACTATGTATTCTCATTGTTCTTTGAGTATCACACCTGTCAGACAGATGAGCAATTAGCCTCCTAAGTTTATTACTTCCAATGGCAATCTGATTCACAGCCTGCTACAACTGACAGCAACACAAGCAGCTTACTGTGTGCCACCTTCAGATGTCAACAGCAAAGCTCTGTGAATCACGACTAGAACACAGCTATTTGAGAAGTTTACTTCTGGAACTGATTTATATATTCAAGAAATTGCTACCAAGAGCCATAAAAGAAAAAAACCACTACCACAAAAACAAATAAGGAAACTACATTCTGGTACCATGGTGCCCTTTACAGGGAACCAACATAGCCTTAACTTACCTTTCCTTCCAAGTTCAGCTGCTGCATTTCTTGGTCACTATTTCCTATTCCAATAAATGCACATGGTTGAGACTCTTGTTCAGAACAACCATCACGTTCCATTTGTTCTTTTTTTTTCTTCCACCCACTGCCCATAAGATACACACAAGGAGGAGGGCAAAAAAACCTGAAATGAAAATGAAAACAAAAACACACAACCAAAAAACAAACAATGCAATGAGATTCAAGAAAGTATTTCCTTTTCTTGAACATACGAATATAAAATCATACTGAACTGCACTAAGTTAGCTCCTAGTCAAATATTTTGGTGAAGACTCTTGTAATGCAAATAATCATGTCCACAGCACAGAAATCAAGACTTCCACAAAGACTGCAT